ACAATCTTAAACATGCTCTGTTTACGAGCAGCAGAGGCAGATTTTCTGCTCTTGACTAGTATGTCATTGCCATACAAACAAAATCGGACGAGCGATTAATGTAAACAATACGAGTATGTGAGAGACGCATGGTGAATGTTTTGTATGGGAATGACTTCTTTTTCTTAGAAATTTATTTCTAATATCAGGGTGCGTCTTCCAATCCGCAGCAATGTGTAAGCCTGAAAATACGGTGATTAAAAAAGAATAATTGGATTAAATAAGACTTTTTTAATTGAATTTATGTCGCCTATATAGACATTATATAATGACACAATCGAGAGGCGGATGTTCCACACCGTTTCAAACAAAAGGTTAGGAAGGAAACCCCCATCAATACTGGAAAGAGCGATAATAGATACTGGACTTGAGCAACCTAATTTCATTTTAAAAAAATAAGGTGTTTTAAGAAATTCTAGCGACAGTGAATCTAATTGTTCTGTTAATGAATGCTAAATGCCTTCTTTTAAGGAGACGCGGGTAATTTTTACCATTATAGAATGCAAATCACAATCCTCTGTCTTCCTGAATACTGTTCATTTCTTTTCTTTGTCCTTTCACTATACTGAAAAAAAAACTTCTAATTTTGTTTCGATCCCAGTAAACCCTTGCGTCTTAGAAGTGTTATCACCGTGCTTAAAATGATTTAAAAAAATGATGAGATGAACAGATACTACACTTTGATCCTAGCGCGATGGCAGAGTGAGTGAAGAAAAGCGTAACCCGAGTAGAGATTTTCCAAGCGTAGCTTAGATGTGGCACAAGGCCGAAAGTATGGGGCACCCAGTGAGGATCGAACTCACTACTCAGTCGTAATTGTGCTAGCGAGACAAGCTTACTAAACATTACACCGCCTCGGGGTGCCTAAAGCGTAACTCGAGTAACGCTGGCTTTTATTAAATTTCTATCTCAGTCTGTTTTTATCTATCTATCTATATATCTATCTATCTATCTATCTATCTACTTGTCTGTTTATCACAGTCTGTTCATATCTATCTATTTATCTATCTATCCTAATCTGATCAATATCAGGTATCTATCTATATTTTTGTATACAGTGAGTTTCATCCTGTACAAGGTTCGAGGGCCACTCGAGGTAGAGTCAGTATATCTATCTCAGTCTGTTTTTATCTATCTATCTATCTATCACAGTCTGTTCATATTTATCTATATATCTATCTATCCTAATCTGAGCAATATCAGACAGCTATCTATATTATTGTATACAGTGAGTTTCACCCTGTACAATGTTCGAGGGCCACTCGAGGTAGAGTCAGTATATGCGAATAAGGAGAGAAGATAGCGGTTAACCTAAACTTGAACAGGCTAAGACTGTATTGATCGGAGAAGCATCCTCTTGGGAGTCGGTTCCATTGAGCAGTGGTCGGTTTCACAGAGCAGTGGTTGGATGTTAGAGTGGAACTTCTAACCAATGGAATATGGAGGGGATGTGGGTGTGGTCTGCTGCTCGGTTAATGAATGCTGAATGTTCACTTGTAAGGAAATGGCTAATCTCGCTATTACCATAGGCGTGTCTGTGTGTCTGAGCGTGAGAGAGAGATTGCGGGAAAGAAAGAAAGAAAGAAAGAAAGAAAGAAAGAAAGAAAGAAAAAAGAAAAGGAAACGACAGAATGAAAGAAAAAGGAAAGAAAGAAAAAAAGAAAGAAAGAAACGATAGAAAGAAAGAAAGAAAGAAAGAAAGAAACGATAGAAAGAAAAAAGAAAGAAAGAAAGAAAAAAGAAAGAAACGACAGAAAGAAAGAAAAAGGAAAGAAAGAAAAAAGGAAAGAAAGAAAAAGGAAGAAAGAAAGAAAGAAAGAAAGAAAGAAAAAAACGAAAGAAAGAAAGAAAGAAAGAAAGAAAGAAAGAAAAGGAAACGGCAGAAAGAAAGAAACGACAGAATGAAAGAAAAAGGAAAGAAAGAAAAAAAGAAAGAAAGAAACGATAGAAAGAAAGAAAGAAAGAAAGAAAGAAAGAAAAGGAAACGACAGAAAGAAAGAAACGACAGAATGAAAGAAAAAGGAAAGAAAGAAAAAAAGAAAGAAAGAAAAAAGAAAAAGAAAGAAAGAAACGAAAGAAAGAAAGAAAAAGGAAAGAAAGAAAAAAAGGAAGAAAGAAAGAAAGAAAGAAAGAAAGAAAGAAAGAAAGAAACGATAAAAAGGAAGGGAGAAAGAAAGAAAGAAAGAAAGAAAGAAAGAAAGAAAGAAAGAAACGATAAAAAGAAAGAAAGAAAAGGAAACGACAGAAAGAAAGAAACGACAGAATGAAAGAAAAAGGAAAGAAAGAAAAAAAGAAAGAAAGAAACGATAGAAAGAAAGAAAGAAACGATAAAAAGAAAGAAAGAAAGAAAAAAGAAACAGAAAGAAAGAAAGAAAGAAAGAAAGAAAGAATGAATCTTCAGGCTAATTTTACACCGAGTATCTTTTTTTATTGGGACTTCGACAACCAAACCTCCAGACATTCCTAAGCCTTTCGGCAAAGCACAAAATGTTCCCTTCTCTTGTAATATCCTTCACAGTTCAGGCTTTTTTTCTTCATATTTTGGCGGGTGAGGGGCAGGAATTCGTGCCCGCGAAATTCTAACAGTGTTTTTCTCTTGACGCTAAAATCAACTGACAATTCGTTGACTCTTCACAGCATTAATTTGAAAGATTTTAGGCGATTATCCAATAATAAAAGTGTTGTTCGCGCTAGTTTATTCTTCGTCTGCTTTTATGTGCCGTGTCATTTCAGGACGTGGGAGACCACGGCTCTCTACATTCTCTTACTATTTGTAACCCATTGCAACGTTCGTTTCTTTGCCTCTTGTTCCAGCATCCATTTACACGCTTGTCCGGTAGTTGGCCCGATACTTTCTCCTCGCCTGGTTTTCATGAAAAAAGATGTGTGCAGTAAAGTAGATGAAATTCACTGTAAATATAAATTGACTACAATTAAACCTGGCAAGACCAATATTTTGCAGTTCGAGGACTGCAGAGAAGATAAAAACGACTGCACTAAAAAAAAATCAGTTCATTGTTTTATTTATACAGAAACAGAACGATTTATTTATTTGTGTGTTTTTTGTTTTTGTTCTTTGTTTTTTTGTTTTGTTTTTTTTTACTGTTTATCAACCCTTTGTTTGTTATTTAAATATGACTTCACTGTCCGACCTTGCTTGGATATGTTTATCATTTGGTAACCTTTTATTTTTCTATCTATCTATCTATCTATCTATCTATCTATCTATCTATCTATGACAGTCTGTTCATTATCTATCTATCTATCTATGGCAGCCCGTGCATTGTCTATCTATCTATCTATCTATCTATCTATCTATCTATCTATCTATCTCACAGTCTGTTCATTATCTATCTATCTATCTATCTATCTATCTATCTATGGCAACCTGTGCATTATCTATCTATCTATCTATCTATCTATCTATCTATCTATCTATCTATCTATCTATCTATCATAGTCTGTTCATTATCTATCTATCTATGGCAGCCTGTGCATTATCTATCTATCTATCTATCTATCTATCTATCTATCTATCTATCTATCACAGTCTGTTCATTATCTATCTATCTATGACAACCTGTGCATTATCTATCTATCTATCTATCTATGACAGTCTGTTCATTATCTATCTATCTATCTAATTGTCTGCCGCGGTCTGTTCATATCTATCTATCTATCTTAGTCTGATCAATATCTATCTATCTATCCTAGATGGATCAGTACCTATCTATCTAGTTGGTTATTTAAAGACCGCTTCACTGACCGACCTTGCTCGGATATGTTTATCATTTGGTGGCCTTTCAGGGATATTGACAAGAAAATTATATTTCACACACTCACTTCCTGAGACGAGGTAATTGATTGATTCATTCATTCATTGATTTGTTTAACGATTTTTCCCCAAATATCAATGTTTCTTCCAGATACAAGTGCTACTATTTAACCCCTAGATTGGGAAGGTAATCGCGTAATACCCGTCCAATAGGTATTTGGAATGCAATGAACCCGACTGGAATTCGAACTCGGCTCTCTGATTTCTAACCATGGTCCTCTAACAATTGCACCAGCCGCACATCCACTACATAAAATCAACGCAGACAGATGAAATAGTGAACGCGTAAAATTGTTCAATGCAACTGGCATCTCCTAACAGGGAAGAAAATGTAACGACTGTTGTATTGAATAGTTTTTACACGTTCGCTATTTCACCTGTCTACGTTTTTTAATTTCATGAAATTTCACAAAAAAAATTTTCTATTTCCTGATGTTTTTTTTTTTATTCATTAAAACGGCCCAAGGAAAAAATTCCCCAAACCGCCGCAACCGTTGTTTGCGCCGGCCTCGGTGTGAGCACCGATCCTTCTTTCTAGTGCAATGAGAGGATGCAGCCTTGGACAGCTGTTCCCCAGGGCTGGGTAACCTTCAGTGTGATTTTCCTCAGTTGCGCCTCTGTCCTTCGACGGAGCCACATCTGAGTCGCACTCTGTCTGAAGACAGAGAGACGCAACTGGGAGATGATAAAAAAAAATCTGGAAAGCCAATTTAGTACATAGCTAAATAGGGAATAGGTGTATTCGGGCCTTTTCTCAGTGGATTAGGGTGAAAATGAAATCAGAGTCCATTTTCTGCGCTGATAACCGTTACACCAATCATGAAATTAAGAAAGTGTGGGGATAACATATATATAAAAAAAAAATATGTTTTTACCAAAATTTTCTAAAAAAAAAAAATTCAAACATAGTTTCATTCATTTGCGAATAAGTCCTGAAAATTTCACTAAAATCGGACAATTTTTTGATTTTTACAAGAATTTCCAAGTCAATGTATTTTCAACGGAAAAAAGCGCAAAAAGTCAATGTAATTATTTTGCCACCACGATGACGTAAACAAAACAAGATTTTAGCCAAAATTTTGAACATGTTAGAAAGGATTCATTTTTTTTTTAAATTATCAAAAGATACTTTGGTCGTTCATCTTAATAATAACATAAACATTTTGGCGATAAAACTTTATCTTTATTAAGTTTTTGCCCTTTTTCATTACGCTATCTGTTTTCCCGCGAAAAAGCTGAGGTACCAATATATATCTACTAGCAGCATGGCCCGGCGTTGCCCGTGCTTGATTCAAAAATCGTACGACTCATACAGCAATCGCTATCACTTGACTTAAAATATTTTTGCCCTTTCTTGCTTTTAAAGGAGTGCCCTTTGCCGTGCTGATGTTGCTACATGCCTTACTTCTTGCCTATCTCCCACTGCGAATTTTTGTAAGCTCTATACTAAACATTAAATCTGTTACGAAAAAAGAACTAAGCAAAATGAACACAAAACGATCAGCTTTAAAAAAGGACTCGTAACTGGAAAAACCAAATGAAAAAAGAATGTTAACAACAAATACTTTTTCACACCCAACCCAGTTCTGCGGAATCAGAATCAACATTGAGTTTAAGCAAGCGAATGAGCCAATTGGAGTAAAGTACCATGCAGATTTAAATTTTTCCCACTTGTGACGAATGCAGCTACCGATTTTTTTGCATGCTAGCATGGTAGTTAACATGCGTGTCAGTCAGCTGTTGGCTCTCACGCTGGCCAATATAATCTTCCTGCCTATTCGTGGCAGCCAGCTATAGGCTCTCACTCTAGCCAGTAGAAAATGGCCGCAAACTACATGAAAACTGCCGTAGAAGCATGAAAAGATCGATTATTTTCACTATCGATGGGAGTTGGGAAATGCTATCTTGGAGCATGTGCATGTAAATTTTGGTGCAAATTCGTCGAAAATTGCGGCCGTGCATTCGTTATACACACACGCATATCCTGCCTTTTATAGAGATTTATCCTAGTCTGTTCAACATCTATCTATCTATCTATCTATCTATCTATCTATCTATCTATCTATCTATCCTTCTAAGACTGTTCCTTTATTCTTTATTTCCTTCTTTCTTTCTGTCTATCTAAGCCTATTCTTTCTTTTCTTTCTTTCTTTCTTTCTTTCCTATCTATCTATCTATCTATTTATCTATCCCAGTCTTTTCGTATCTATCTATCTATCTATCTATCTATCTATCTATCTATCTATCTATCTATCCCAGTCTTTTCGTATCTATCTATCTATCTATCTATCTATCTATCTATCTATCTATCTATCTAAAAGACCAGGTGTTACTGAGTATGAAAGAATAAGGAAAAAGAGAAACATTATTAAAGAGAAGGAACAATAGAAAGCAATCAAGAAGACAATAAGTGACGATTGACATTGTATTTAAATTTTTGAAGAACAAAGTTAACTGGAAATCATTGAACAGGAAGTGATTTCTATAAGGGAGAAGTGCGAGAAAAGGTTCTACCAGCTTTTCTTTCTATGACAAGCAAATATTAGTCGTTTGTATTTGGGTCTATCAACTTTTCTTTCTATCTATAACAGGCTAATATTAGTCGTTTGTATTTGGGTCTATCAACTTTTCTTTCTATCTATAACAGGCTAATATTAGTCGTTTGTATTTGGGTCTATCAACTTTTCTTTCTATCTATAACAGGCTAATATTAGTCGTTTGTATTTGGGTCCTATCAACTTTTCTTTCTATCTATAACAGGCTAATATTAGTCGTTTGTATTTGGGTCTATCAACTTTTCTTTCTATCTATAACAGGCTAATATTAGTCGTTTGTATTTGGGTCTATCAACTTTTCTTTCTATCTATAACAGGCTAATATTAGTCGTTTGTATTTGGGTCTATCAACTTTTCTTTCTATCTATAACAGGCTAATATTAGTCGTTTGTATTTGCGTCTATAGTCATTTCTTTCTATCTGCATAGGCAAATATTAGACTTTTGTATTTGGGTCTATAACGTTTTCTTTTTATCTGTCATAGGCAAATATTAGTCGTATGAATTTGGGACTATAATTTTTTTCTTTTTATCTATGACAGGCAAATATTAGTCGTTTGTATTTGGGTCTATAGTCATTTCTTTCTATCTGCATAGGCAAATATTAGACTTTTGTATTTGGGTCTATAACGTTTTCTTTTTATCTGTCATAGGCAAATATTAGTCGTATGAATTTGGGACTATAATTTTTTTCTTTTTATCTATGACAGGCAAATATTAGTCGTTTGTATTTCGGTCTATAGGTCTTTCTTTCTATTTCTCATAGGCAAATATTAGTCGTTTGTATTTCGGTCTATAACTATTCATTCGGGAATAAGTAAATAAGTGTTGTTTATAACTGAATCTGTAAGAATTTACTTTGTTCAGAAATAGGTAAATATTAGTCTTTTATATTTCAGTTTACTTGGTAAATGTTACCATTTTAGTTGGAGGGAATCTAGCATTTCTACGGGGGGGATACAATCAGCTTAGCCTCAACCCCACCAACAAGGTAAACTTATTCGGAATTAATGTAGAAATATTGCTGTTAACTGACGAATATCAATTACCGTAATTATTTCTGTATAATATT